GATCGCTTTTTTGCGTCTTCTATCTTCTCCCTTTTCTTAGAACCAGCGTTAGGCCCCTTTAGCTTTTCATTTAGAGCCACACCTTGATCTGTGTACGACAACAAGGCTGAGTCGACGCCCGTCACCAAGTCATGAAAATCCTTCAGACTCGCTTTTGTATCAGCCTCGCTACTGACCTTATCCTTTTTGTCATCTAACGTCCTCTTCTCATTATTGATGCTAGCATATTGTGACCACTGTTGGTATTGTTGAGGCGTAAAACCTGGGATAACGGACCGCTGGAAAGCTGTATTCCCGTTATTATATTGATTCATGTTCCAGTTGTAAGAATTTGCGTAATTATTTCCATTGGCTACAGGATAACCAATGACTGATCTTACATTCGCATTGTATAAGTTGTTAGCTGGCATAGGGTAAATGGCGGACTGTTTATGTGGCAGAGCAGATCGCTTGGTGCTGCGTTTTCTCAAAAACGGCTTTAATACGGCTATTCCAGATTTTTGAGTATTTGGGATTAGATACTTTATTGCCTTTTGACCAAATAATTTCGCGGTTTTTGCTGTTTCCTCTAGAAACTGTGGAATATCTCGTTGTGAGAGTCGTCCGAAATCTGAAAAAGGATAAAAAAATACGTAAAAAATAATCAAGAAATCAAATAGGTATCAAACAACTGCAAAATTTAAAATTAATACAAATAGAGCTTGGGTTTGAATTTAAAATAGAAGATTTACGTTTGCTGAAGATTCACTGATGTTGTTGCAGCAATTTTTTTAAAGAAAATTTTTATAAAAATTTGAGCAAAGAGCCAATAACATGCAAGTCTTAAAATATTGTCCCCTTGACATTTTTAGTGGGGCTTAGAAAAATACATCTTAAAAAACATGTTCCGTTTCAGTGCATTTTCATCATATGTCTAAAAGGTTGATTTGCAGATCAAATGTGTACGCTATTTTTAATTAACAAACGAAAATTGGTTCTTGTCGAGGCAGCTAGAGGCAATACACAAATCTGTTTCTTCCAAGGTTCTTTAAATTCATGAAAATCTGGAAATCGTCTTGTATATTTTGCATACACAAAAACTCTTGTTACACAAAATTAATTTTGCATAAAACAAGCATTTCCAGGCAAACGTATACAGCTTGAAATATGGAACACAATGCATACCTCTATCAGCAGGAGCTGCCAATGAGCTCAAAGTAATAGCAGATAACGAGAGAAAAAACAATCGAAAATCCATGTCGAAAAACACCGCTTGTTACTACTTCTCGAAGTAACGAAGCCGCAGCTTTAGCGAAACGCGCCAGTGAATGTGTCAAGCGAAAAACTGGTTGCTCAATTGTGCAGTCTTTGTTTTCATGCTGACAGGTGACCCAAAACCGATTGATCATAATAAGGAACTAGCAAGCAAGATAACCTATCTCAAACATGCAGTGGGGTGGTAAATCAATTTAGATCGAATTAACCAGAGCGATGTACGATCACAATGGCAAAGAGCATGTCATTGGAATTTTGTATAATTACGCTTATTATAATTGGGAAGGTGCTAAATTGAAAATTACAAAGATTTCTGTAGAGCAATGGGGAAAGGCGTGATGCTTGCTGAGCACCATAAAACGCGCAAAGTATAAAACGAGATACATGCCATGTACTGAACGAGAACTGCACAAATTATAAATAAACAAAATACAATACCAGTTAGTAGCTATGATTTCGTGCTCTTTAATTTCTTTCAAAATATGAACGCTTTTTAATTTTTGTCCAGAATTGCATATCAGAAATTGGTTTTTCATCTGTTTACACTAGAACCTTGGAAAGTGAGTAGATAGAAACCTCGCTTCCACATCAACGGCCATGATTGTTGTTGGAAAGCTGTGGAGATATTTGCTTGCAGAAGAGCAGCAATTGTACTTCAGAGTGAGTGAAAGGAGTCAAATATAAGATGATTTTTAATTTGAATCAGCGGATTTCTTATGAAGATGTTCAAAGTTTGTCGAAGATTTTGGTTGATGGATGGAATTTGATAGATGGCAATATGCGAGGACAGTTCAGTTGGACCTAAAATTGTTGAACCAAAATTTTGCCTATGTTTTCATTTTTATGATGGAGGACGTTATTTAGACAGAGATTCAGACTCAAATAATATTTTGAAGAATACGTGATGCTTTTTAAGGTAAATAGCCATTTTTATGCAGGCTGTCAATCAGAACTTTTAGGGTTCAAGTCAGGTATATCTTGATAATGATGATGTAGCATTCTGACGAATGATGCTGTTCTATAAATATCTTGATGAATTTGAATATGCTGAATTTTAGAGTTCTAGATATTTTTTTGATAGATGTTGTTATTATCACAAACCTGTAAATAGTTTGACTGTGCTGGGGATTTGTTTTTGAATAAGATATTGCATTTTCTACGGCGTATTCTTTTCTTGTTAATTTTATGCTGTCAGTTTTGGAAAAATCTAGACTGCCATATTTGTAAATGAGAAATTGTAATAGTATTTTGATTTTATTTGTCTGGTCATGCCATAAATATGGTAACCCTTTTCACGAGTTTAACCTCTAAAACTAGTAAAATTATTTGTGGTTTCCACACTTTAAGAGTATACCATTTGAAACTTTTGGTTCTGAAATACCCTTAAGATTCATTAATTTTTGTTTATGAATTTGCAAGTGACTGACAGTTTTCTTTTCTATGTTATTGTGTGTGTAAATAAATGTAAATATGGGTAGTAAATAAGTGCAATCAATGGAATGATCCTATTGGGGGAATTACTACATTATTAATAAGAAATTCACAGCAAGTTGGTTCTGCCAAGTAAATATCTTATATAAATCCAAATAGTAAAAGTTACCATGTTTGCCTTATTTCTTTGCCATTACTGACTTTGTTTGATGTACATTTAAAATTTGTATATAATATATATTTATGATGTTCTTGTTATGGAAAGACAATGAATTGTTTTAAATTCTGTTACATTTGCTGTTTTACCAACACCTGAAAATACTAAAATTGTATGATGTGTATTGACCTAACTGGTATTTTTGGCCATGTTTAAGGCACATCACACAGCAGTTTAGATAGAAAGGTGAATGCACAAAATAAATAACAGAAAAGCTCTGAGCCCCTAAGGTATTTGGTGTTGAAGTCAAACATTTGGGTGGATATTGCATTGAAAATTTCTACACTAAACACAGTATTTGATTGTTAAATAATATAATTGTATAAATTGAACTAAGATTCCTTTCTTTAAATGGCTGTTTTTTAAGTGAGTGACATAAAATGTTTTTCATGAGTTTTTCTCCCTGAGAAGGGGTGATACACACATCTAATATACCCTTATTTTAGCTCATCCTCTTTGTTCTTGACAATTTGTGGTTCTGTGCCTAGACTTGCCATTAAATCATTATTAAGAGGACATTTCAAATCTTTGCTGCTGTTTTTCCATACAAAAGCCATGTAGGAAACAAAACATGCCAACACAACAAAAACTTGATGAGTGTTTCTCAAAATTTTTCCAGAGATCTCTTTTCTTGTTCACTCAATAAGTAAAATGCCAAATTGTCAATGAAATCCAGACCTGGCTGTTATTCTTAATATTTATCCTTAAATTTCTCAACCTTTGAGCCTCAACATTTTCTGTTTCCTAATCCTAAAACTTAATATAAGGAAAAATACATCTTTAAGTGGAAAACTTCGATTCTGAGACTATAGTAAAATTTGACTGATTTTTTTTGGGCGTGGTCATATAGGCGTGGTCGAAACTTTGCGAATGTCAGATTTTTTTCTGCATCCGCCCCTGCATTTTCATAAAAGTTTTATAGATACCTAGAATAGAATGATAGAAAATGTTACTGCTTTCTCTTCTCCTCTGCATGATGAAAATGATCACTGTTTTAGTATTGAAGAAAATTGGCATAATTTGACTTACTTGCAGAAGAAACTGTATGAGCCCAAAAAAATGACAGCAATCTTTCTCATTATAAATTAAGATTTGATTTTGAAAAGCAGCTTAATGATAAAACAGATAACTGATACAGCAACAAAAGAAAACATCTTGTTAGTAATATTTCCACATTTCTTCTATTTAAGTTGACAACTAATCAAGATAATTCCAGTTTAGACAATCCGTATGGCAAAAATTAATGTAACATATACATTATGGGTAAGACAAAATTAAATGTCTCTTACTGCAATGTCTTTCCTGTATGGACTCATATGAATTGTCTTACCTGTAACGTCTATATCTTGATTAATCATCAATTGAAATAGACTTGCTAGTTGTTATGTGTGTGAAATATTGCCAACAGCTTGGTTGAAACTTGTTAATTCTTTGATGATAAATGTACTAACAAGTTATAGAAAACATGGTAGAAATAGAAAACCGAGCTGTCCCCATACTTGATAATATCTGCCTGCATTCTGTTTGATAAAATGAATGAAATGGGATATAACCAAATTAGGCACACTTAAGTCAACTCAAAAAGTCCTTGAAACACTGTTAAAACACTTTAGTAAAGTCCTAAAAATTGCTACCCACATGTCACCTTCCAAATCTGTTCAAATATTTGTATTCTTGTGAAAAGTTCAAATTGATTAAAAAAGTCAACAACTGGCTTCTAGATCTATGTCTAAAGAATGGCAAGAAATCACGAAGGACTGATAAAAAGGCTTGGTCAATGCAAGGTTATATCAGAAATGTTAAAAAATGATTTACAACAGGTCCATATATCATTAATTAATTGAAAACAAACAGAAGATGCCTGAAAATTACTTGACCTAATGATGTAAGTTCAAAAAAGCTTCTTAAGAAGATTATAAATTCCAATGCAAGCCCCGAGTATCCATCCAAAATAGTTTGGAAAATGTGTTTAGTTTTAATAGCTCTTGTTTACATGTAGCTCTAGTTTATTTCAAATTGTTTTAGATCCAAAGAAATATCAGTTTAACTTTCCACTGAATGTTGCTACTCAAAGACTTATGGTTAATCTGACCACTTGCTTAATGCATATTTTTTTCTTTTCATTTTCAAATATACTGTGTACCATTCAGTTTTATACACAAAATATGTACAGCTCTGCCCATACAATATTAATCGCTTTATGACAGACAGGTAAACAGTGACTTTCATCATTCTTAATTTATGCAGAGATCCACAAGTAACACACTGAATAAACATTTGGCTTTATGAAAAACATATGTACAAACTTTAGTTAACAGTTAAAATGGTAGCAAAATATTAACAAATATCATAGCATTTCCATTACAAAATATTTTCTGGTCTAGTTCAAACAAGGAGTTTCTGTTTTACTCTGTCCACAAATTTTTCAATATATTTCTTTGAAATATTTGTAGTAAACCATACTCTGTTATTTTTAAAATTGCTATTGAAATACTCTTTGAGATTCAAGTCTGTTTTACCTAGTAGAATGAAATAATTAATTTTACAGAAGAAATTGTTGGTTCCTTAAAATTCATCAACTTGAAAAATGTTCCAGTATAAACTAACACAGATCCTTAAAGAAAATTACAAGAAGTTTTCATAGTTAAACTAAAACAGCATAAATAATAAACACAAATTTGAGAGTATCTCTTTAAAGTAACATGGTGAAGTGTATAGTGTTGTGTGTCTCCATCTACGTCAAGTTCACTTTTCGTCGCTGTCATTTCCAGTCTGTTTTTCTAACATGGCGAGGTACAAAATTTTGTAATTTTCTGCTTCATTTAAAGCTTTTTCTAAGTAAGCGTATCTTTCTTTCAGACTGTCTAGTTCATCATAAAGTTCTTCGTTTTCTTTCAGTGTTTCTTCCAGCGCCAGTCGCCTTTCCTCTGCAATAGTTTTGAAATATTGTTCTTGAGATGGTTCTGAGCGCATGAGAGCAAGTGCCTCTTCGGCAAGGCTGTCCTTACTTTTCATTTCTTCTAAAGACAACCATTCTTCAAAATCCGTTTGAGTCGCTGCAATGCTTGTAACCACTTGACGATTTTCTTCGCCTCGGCAACTTTTAGGACGTGTTCCATGTTCAGATTTATCCTTCTCCGTGAAGATTTCAAACTTTTTCTGCTTCTGATCACCACAAGAAGAGCTAGCCTTCCACAAACCAGTTACAGTAACATTTTTATTCGATGCAGTCGGTTGCAATATTGCAAGTCCTCTTCTCTTTGCGGGCTTTAAAGTCCTCCCAGAAATGGGTGATTTCGTCGACAGTGGCCTAGCTGTTGTGATCTTACTTGCTTCTAAAGAAACAGTAGGTTTAGTTTGATTCGATCCAAATGACGCACATACCTTATTTATATTTTGAGGAATAGTCTTCATTTCTGACTTCTTGTTAATAACTTCCACGTTCTCTTTGTTCCCGATTGAAGTTTCAGAGAGAAGGGGATGGTCGTTCATCGCCATTTTATTTTTTTTGAATGACACATTCTCACGTGCAATTGGCGCCAAATTTCCTTATTTGGTTAAGTCCGCTGCGTCCCAGATCCCATTGGGTTCCAGGCCTCAAACTCCAGGATATGTGAACAAAGTTTAATGCACAAAAATAATTTAGTCTTCGGTATGTGATTTTGTGACTCTGAAACATTTCTTTGCTTTGAAACAACTAACAAGAGCTTTAAACGCGGAAATTCTAAAATTAATATTACAATGAAATTTTTTTGAAGAGGCCATCTTCGGTGCGTCATCTGCGCACCATAACAAAACAATTCTTCAACAATCTTCAACTTCATGTTTGCGGCAATAAATTTCGCATTTTGACAACTAAGACCTGTACCATCAATTCTAAACTGGGGCAGCAAAGAAAAAACTGCCCTCTTAAACAAAAAAACACGGAAATATGGAGTTTATTCGTAACAGATGGCCCATAACCAAACTTTCCAGCCAGCTCTCTGCCATCGCCGGCATAGGAATTACAAGGTGTGGTCACTTCGAGCGGAAGGACCTGGACACTGCTCGATATGCTTAGCCTTCTATGTCTTAAAAAAGTATTCAGATGCTACCCTCTGATGTTCTGAAAGAAAGCCTTATCCGATGTCTCAATCTGAACACAGTCACCAGGTGGATAAGTTAAGTAAATTATGGGGGCAGTTTGAATTAATATTTTCTTTAAGGTAAACTCTTATAACATGCTATAAGGCAAAGGTTGAATTATATAACATATCAAAACGAAAACTGCTTTCTCGAAAGAAATTGTGCGGAAGAGAATCACGCAGGAATCATGTTGGAACAAATTAAAATATATTTCTGCAAAAAAAATTATGCGGTGATTAACAACTGACTATCAATGGACACTGAGAGATTTCAGAATTTCTGAAATTTACAAACGCAGCAGTGTTGGTTATAATTATCTCTATAAAAATAGTGATGAACTTATTTCTTTTTTACTGAAATACTCGATTCACATAGACCGTTCATAGCATGAAGCATGAAGCAGTGACATGCTTTTGAAACATCAGAACGTTAAAATTAAATCTATGACATTCTTGGAACTCAAGCTAACTCTAAAATGCATCATTACAAATATTAATTCAACAGTAAATTTCTTTTTACAACAAAAGTATTTTTGATAATCAAAAAAACTGACTTTTAACATGAAAAATGGCAAAATTATCAAAAATTTGAAATTCAGTTAACGAATCTTGCTTACAATGAAAACAATGATTACAGATACGACAGGCAAATATCTGTAGGATCTGCTTTATAGTTGTACGCATAATGGTCAGCGGTAGCAAAAAATATGCGCTGTCAGCAGACAGAACGCTTAACAGATGTAACTGGCATGCTCCTCCGTCGGGCGATGTCATGCTATTCTATGGTGAGGCAGGTCAGTTTAACCTGATCGAATCATAATGTGTAATTTGAGATTTTCACTTAAACGAATCGTAGAGGATTGACGAGTTCAAAGTGACCCGCCTCAGCATGTAACACGATTGCTGAAAGCATTTAAAGTAAAAAAATTAGAGACGAAACGTCGTTGTAATATAAACAACTGTTATTTTAAAATGCAAGCGTCGCTTTTTGCCGACAGGCAATTCTTTAAGGAAATCTTTCCGCAAAATCATAGCATAAATGATCCACACATCTTCTGTTTGAATGTCATGTTGTGTCTTCTTTGTGAGAACTTGTATATATTACATTTGAATTTAAAATTATGCCTTAACTAAAGTCAAGAAGAAAAATTATTAGACTGAAATAAAATAATAACTATTGGATAAACTTGTCAAGTTTATAGTAACATATGATGCAAGATTCTTCAGGAATACATTGCTTGTGGAACGTGTGGCCTAAAACAAAAATGGTAAGTGATGAGGAAAATCGAATAGAAGCTATCAATCAGAAGTGGAAAGTAACTTTCAAATGAAAGCAAAATAGAGAGCTGGAAGTAGGGTTAACACAGGAAGATAATGTCGTAAATTAATGTGAGAGTGCAAAGATACTTGGGATGGCAAGGGGGACAGGGGGTTTTGGCATCAAGTTCTACCTCCATTGAGCTGATGAACTGTCCTTTCCCGGCCTAAATGTAAACTACTCTAGGCACAGAGAATATGAGTCGTAAAATATCATGAAAACTTGCGAATCCTTGTCAAAGAAATAACAGAGTTAGTGCTAAAAGAACATCTTGCACAAGGGTTAATTTAAAGCTTTCGATTTCTCCTTTAAAATAGGACTTGTATGAAACTAGGACAGGATTTTTGTTTGAGTTGTAAGAAATGTGTGTTTTATGTAACTTAAACAGCGAAGTTTTAATAAGTAAAGGAGTAAAGAATATAAATAAAGTTCAAACTGACGACAACGAGCACGACAAACAGCTTTAGGCAAAGAAATACAACACTGTGGGTTGGTGGTTGTCATTTCGAATGGTACTTCAAGGCGATATGATCAAGTCAACGAACTTACCACAGTCGAAAACAACCAAACCAGCATTAGTAGATGCTCCATGAATACACAGTGGTAGGGTACAGCTTGGGCAATGCGAACTAAAATAAAAAGGTTAGAGGACCTTCAGAAAGAGAAAAGGGTAAATTCATGGTTACATGACACGGTTTGAAATTGGAATATAGAAATTAGTAGTTTAGCGATACGAATGATTCAAAAGAGACGAAATCAGCTGAGAGCGCGGGCAAAAGGGTAACTGTAAGTTTATCCATCGACGCTATCCATCAATAAAGAACGTAGACCAGTAGGTCAGTACTGGTCTTGTATATCTTTAGTTGTAGTTCTAGCATGTAGTTCTAAGGAAGCTATTATGAGAAAGAAAAATCAATTAAGCAACAGATTTCTAGAAAAGCTATGTCTATACTGGCAAACCTATCAGGCCAGAAAGTAGGATAGGAACATTTGGAGCAGAAAATAATTTGCTTAGTCGTACTGACCTCGAGATATTTAGGCTGACTCCCCAATGGTTAGAGCTTTGCAAATCCGTCGAATACGAATCTTCCATAACCAATGCCTCATCACTGGGCAAATCACCACTAAGTTCTCTGTTCTTCAATTCCTCAATCTGTAGCAAGAAAAGGATTTGCAAATTTATGCATGAAACATTATTACAAATAAAAACAGATTTGAAAGCTCAAACAAGGAAAAATACACGTCGGATTGCTGCGGATCAAACTGATTTTCTCGTTGCCTGGTTCTTTTACCCTGAAAATGCTTATCTCTATACACTATAGAAACTCTGGAGTAGTCTTGTAACCATTAAATAATAATATCAATTTGTATTTTCAAGACCTATAGGAAAAAGCACTTTTCAATGATGCAGAATAGACAGATCGAGATAAAGAGCAGTCATGAGAACACGGATAAAGTGGAACTGCATTTTACGTTGTTTTCTGCAACATTTTTTAACTGAGATCTGTGAAGCTTACGTCAAAGATAAACAAATTCAAATTAAAAAGAGTTCGGTTACGAATACATAATTGATAAGCGTAATGCTATTTCCCCTAATCAAAAGGCTATCATTCGCATACTACACTTAGTTGTGTGTCATTGTAGACAGGCCCAATTTTCCTGCTGCTTTAAAACCTCTTGATTAACGGTAAGGGACCCGTTCTGTTTCTACTTTGTCACTAAATATAAAAAATGCAAAAGGTTTGAAGCATTTCCTTTGAGTTATTCAATGTATTCAAGAGCACTGGGCTACTCTATTTACAACATTATGAGGCCTCTTGTTCGCAGTCCTTTGTATGGCGGTGTGGAATATTGGTCTTCCTATTTACGTCGATCACCACCAAGCCTCATCCAGACACGTCCAAGCCCCACTTATCCAAACCCTATTTTGTAAAAGAGGATACCCACGTGACAAAATCGCGCTATGCCACTGGTCTCAGTGTGCGGGCAAAAATACAAGGGAAGTTTTTCCGTGGAATTGCTCTCTACAGAGTTGAGAATTAGGTTCTTAAATCACATGGCAATATATCAATACGGTTTGTAAACAATATTGTCACAACATAGCAAGTGATAAGGATCAAGCTTTAAATTACAGGAATCGCTTTCTTCTAAAAGACTAAAGGGCAACATTCTTAATAAAAGGACAACTGCAAACTTCAGTATATAGTGTACAGGCATGCAATTCGTACACGACTGTAGCTTCAGACACTTCGAAACATGTGTATACGTGCACATGATGGCCTGGCCCTGACGGCGAGATTTGCACTTGGTCTTTTGCCGATATATATTGGAAATGTCTTTATCAAAAAGTATCAGCAGAAGACAAACCTGTGTTTGAAGCATCGATTTGTTTTCGTTGAAAGAAAGGCTATTCAGGCTTTCCATCATTTTCAATATAAGTTGCCTAAAAATCAACAATATCGAATGAATTGTCACAAAGACAAAACAAATGTGAAAGGAAATAACGAGAAACTGTTTGAAAATACTTCTAATTTCAAAACATTTTCATATTTATCAACATGTTTTTGCTGCTGCTTTGACCTCAAGTGAAATTACTTTTCTCATTCATAGACGTTAATCTCCATCGACAGTTTAACAGTTCATAAATATAAAAGGCAGAGAAGTTTAAAAGGATCACATTTGTACCCAGAAAAATCGGAAAGAAAGAGATTTCAAGATGAAAAGAAAATTGTGAAACTTAAATTCGTAGAAGTATTCGATTCAAAATAAGTTAAGATTTGTGCATGATGATGTTGCTGGGTGGTTTTGTTCAAGAATTTTATTGTAAAATAAACTAACAACGAAATAATTTTCAACAGTCGAACTCATCATAAAACCCCAAATGCTTTTACAGGTTCCAGTTGCATTCTTTCTGGTGAGAAAATCTGCTCTTTAATGTTTCAAGATTAAAGCTTGACATCGACATAAAAAAGTGGATCATGACATGGCAAATTTTTCCTCAAAGGGAATAAAAAAGTCGTATTAATTACCTTTGCTCCAGCTCTTTTTCGGATATCTGTAAACATGCGTAATAAAATTGACTTGAAGGAACAAATTCTTCTTTAAAATAATTCAACATCTTTAGTGCTTCTTTAGGGCCCAGTTCCCTTACAAGAAGCCTTGCAAGTGATTCATCAGTTATGGTTCGTGTAAAATCCGGAACAGCTGGTCTGCATTTGTGTGGACCGTCTCTTATGTGGTACTTCAAATTGCAAAGGTGCTTAAGGTCATCATCTTGTATGCTGAATGTCTCTGTTGGAAAACAGAATATAATCAATAATAAGCTTTTGGGATGATTTAAGATTTTTAAATACCAACAAATTCGTGACAAACATGCAATTAATACATTATAACAAACAGCTGGGACATTTTTTCAGTCTTTCTAAGATTTACAATTACAAACAATATATATTTCAAAACGTTATAGAAACAAGAGCCTGTAGTCATTTAGTCACTGCGATCTTTAATAACCATGCGATTGAAAATTAATATCCAGGTGCGAATAAAACTGAGTTGAGAGAGATAGTGACATGCATGATTATTCGCTTGTTTTCGTCATTTTGCGAAGAAAAATCTCTAAGATAAATTAAGTGTTATAATGAGATAACGAATGCAAAATACTTATTCAGTCTTCACAAATGTCAATAAGTGACGTCAAGCAATTATGTGAGGTTTTACAGATAAATTACCGGCTTTGACGTAATCGTCCAAAAGCCGAAAGTCTCCCAGCTGGCTCATGACTTCAAACACTTGCTTGTGTTGTCCAAGATGACGTAGCACTTTGATGCAACCAACCCAGTACCTGAAAGATAAGGTATGTAAGGATGAAAGTTAGTCTTTAAGTATAACGTTTCGTTGCAAAAAGATGTCATAAATAGAAAAGTATAACTCTAAGTCATCAGTAGAACTAAATAAATATCTGAGAAGAAAGGCAAAGACAGAAAAGTTGACTTTTATTTTCGCGGACTCCAACGGTGAATAGAAGAGACTTTCCCAAGAAGGACTTGCCAAGTTCAGAAACACGCTTTATTGCAATTAACAAAACCAATAAAATGGAAGTTAGGCACCATTTAGTCCACAATAGATTGTTCTTTAGAAACAAAACTGATCTTAAGAAACCCCCTCGGCAATAGCAGAGTCTACACAAAATATAATGCATTCTGAATGGTTCTCAAACTCACCCATATTTTCGACATAGCTCGAACATCCGACAAACTATTCCACAATCATTTGAATTCACAGCATTCATTAAGACGTTATCAATAAAGCCTTTCTCCTTCCAGGGTAACCAATGAGAACCTTCCCGCGCGACTCCGCAGCCACAGTAACGCATTTTGATGTTGCTTTTTGCACTGGTTTCTTTAAGAGCGCAGTAAAGTAGCGTCATCGCAACAGTGGTGTCATCCAAAGCATTCGAAGAGGGCCTCATCCTTTTGATGGTGTTTACATAACCAAGGAAGTCTTTTGAGACTCCAACGTCGTTTGGATTCATCATGTATATCAAGCAAACCTCCCATGGATTAATGTGCTTTTCGGTACATATATCAAAAACGAGGCCAGCAGATGATGGTAGCAATCTGGCAAGAACCAAACAAATAACTTAAAAAACTTAAAAAGAAATT